GCTGTTTCTTTACTTCCAAAAACCCCTACTCCTGATTCATTAAAACACTATAGACCTATCTCTTGTATAAATCTCAAATACAAAGTCATTGCTAAGGTCCTAGCAAATAGAATTAAGGAGATAATGACATTGACAATTAGTGGTTCCCAATCTGCTTTCATAAGGGGAAGAAGCATCATGGATAACATTCTAATGGCTCAGGAACTAGTTAGTGGGTATAATAGGCGAATGCTATCTACTCGTTATGCTGTTAAGGTAGATATAATGAAGGCGTTTGACTCTGTGAATTGGAAGTATCTATTCTTTATGATGAGTGCCATGGGGTTTCCTCCTCTCTTCTTAAAATGGGTCAGGAGTTGTTTACAAACTGCACACTACAGTTTCAATGTAAATGGTAGTCTCTATGGGTTTTTTAGAGCCAGGAAAGGGGTGAGGCAGGGTGACCCTCTGTCACCTTACCTATTTACCATAGCCATGGAAGGTCTTTCTACAATGCTAACTGAAGCTGGCAGATCAGGGGCTCTCCCATTTCATCCGCAATGCGAGAGTGGCTTTGAATCAACTTTGCTTTGCAGATGACTTGCTCATCTTTACTAAGGGATCTGCTCAGGCTATATCATGCAGGTTAAAGAGATCTTAAACAGGTTTTATCAGATCTCAGGTTTAAATAGTAACCCTGCAAAATGTGAGATCTATTTTGGTGGTGAGGTTGTACTCTACAAGCAGAATGCTTTGGCTCAATCAGGATTTCAGGAAGGGAAGCTCCCAGTCCGTTATCTGGGATTGCCCTTATTGTCTGGCAAGTTATCATCAGTTGAAATTGACAGTCTGGTTGACAGGATTACCAAGAGAATCAAGTCTTGGTGGGTCAAGAAGCTATCATACGCAGGGAGATTGCAATTACTCAACTCGGTAATTCAAGGTATGGTGCAGTTCTGGATGCAGATGTTTATTTTCCCAAAGAAAGCTCTTAAGCGAATACAGAAAGTCTGCTCTCAGTTTCTTTGGCATGGTTTGGATGAAGCCAGAGCAAAAGTAGGCTGGGACAAAGTGGCACTCTCAAAGCGAGAAGGTGGGCTTGGGGTCAAAGATTTGGTGGCTTGGAATCAGGCCTGTACTATTAGAATGATCTGGTTATTTTTTATGAATTCTGGGGCGATATGGGTGGCATGGATGAAAGAATACAAGTGTAGGCAGTGTGATCTGTGGTCTCTTAGAGAGCAGTGCAGTAGTTCATGGGCTTGGAGAAGAATTCTCAAGCTCAGGGCTGTGGTTGTCCCTGGTTATAGGTACAAAATGATGTTGTCTTTTGGGATTCGAGGGAGATGATTGTCTATTCAATCCGTAGAGTCTGGGATACACTGAGAAATAGGGCCTCTGGAGTTATGTGGTATAAACTGGTTTGGAGCAGTAGCTGTCCTCGTTGTTACAGCATGCTTGCTTGGCTGATAAGGAAGAATGTCATTATCACGAGGGACAAATTGCAGAAATGGGGGAAAATTAGGATTGCTGCTTGTCCTCTATGTGATCAAGGGGTAGAGAGCAGGGACCATCTTTTCACTCAATGCCAGTTTGCTCGAGAGCTTGCTGCTGAGGTAAAATGCAGGCTGCTGCTGCATCCCAGCTGGGATTCTATGGTTCAGTCTCTTTCTTCAGCACGACAACCACAATCTGGCATTTGGCAGGCTCTTATGTGGTGTCTCCTAGTGTCATTTATCTGGAAAGAGAGATGTGGAGTTGTCCATGGGGCTTCAGGTTGCTCTCCTACGCAGGTTGCAGCTCTAATTAGGCAGGAATTAGTGTTCCTCACTTATGGGAACAGAGGGGCACGAGATAGTTTAAAAGGGTTGGGATACATATAGAGGTTTTGTTTCTGCAGTAGTATAGTGCTTTGCTTACAGTCTGATTTTGCTTGTTGCAGTAGTATAGAGTATAGAAAACGTTGTGAGGGTGGGGATGCTGGGGACTTGGGATGACTATCCCGCGTTCGTTGTATTGGTTACTTTTCAGAAATAAAAAGCGACTGATTCAACGGGGGGAAAAATCTGCCAAAAAAGGTGTCGGTTAAATGGAACCGACACAATTCAGTCGAATATTGGGTCGGTTAACTAACCGACTCAAATCATTGACACAAAATCAAAATTTAATGTCGGTTAAATGAACCGACACTAAACGTCTGTTTTCTTGTAGTGATTCAAGCATGTTTTCACGTCATGAACATTATACTCAGTTCAACCTTTAGTAACAAAACAATCTCTTTTTTTATAGTTTTACAAGCACGCCAAGTAACAGAGTGTAAGCTTGACGAGTTGATGTCGAAGGGTCCGTCTTTTTTTTTTTTCTTTTACAAAGGGATTACTTGCATTGCACTTTGAATGATCGATTACAAGAGAACCAACAAAGCAAATCAAAATCAGAACAAGAACAGACAAACTCAAGCACATGGTTGATCAATCTGTACTTTAGAGATACAACAAGAAGAGCACAAAACACAGAAAGAGTCACCCAACAATGGATCTGAAACACTTGAACCAAAAGCAGTAAACACCGAAAGCTCTCTTGCAATCAAATCAAACGAAGTAGCACCAAGCGCAATCAGCTCGTCTGATCCGACCGAGTCCATGACGATTGAACACAATGCCATTTGTCGTCTCCTAGGAGTCGCTCGAAGACGCTCAACATAGTGAATCATAGGTGAGAGATTACATGGCGGTGGTAAGGGTTGAGGATTGAAATGCTCCGAGATGAAGAGGCAGTGATAGACGAGGCACCAAGTCTTGGTCAAGGGAAGTAGAAGAATCCAAATCCCCAGATCAAAGAAGTGAAACCATGAGCAGCAGGGCTAGACATCGCAATCCATCCTCCATGGGTCACCAAGATGCAGAACAAACAACCTGGGAAGAACGAACGAGAAAACCAGTGAATCGATTCACCACACAAGCTTATAAACCCACCATTATGAGAGAAGACCCAAGATGCATAACCCAACCCCCAAGGAGAGCAAATCCCAGAAAAAAGCCTAAAACAGGGGAGCGAAATGCCAACAATTGCTGGAAAGCTTAACAGATGGAAAAACATAGTGAAAAACATCATAATAGAGGCAAGAAAGCTGATAAAAGAAGCAGGAAGAAGGGAGGTCGGTTTACCGCCGGTCACCAAGAGATGCCGGCGGCAGCCCTTGGAGAGCTTCACAGCCAAGGGTAAAGTTAGAGAGAGATGAGAGCAAAATTTGAAATAAAGTAAAAGAGAGGTGACAGAGGGGGAGAGTGAATGAGATCAAACCTGTTATCGAAAGGGGTCAGTCTTTGAAGTCACTTTCTATTAGAAACATGCTTTGGATTAGGGTTTAGTATTAGGATTTTTCAAGAAATATCACTGTTTAATTTTTTTTTACAAAAATACCGCCCAATCCCGAAAAATTCCAAAAACCGCTGCACCATCGAGCGGTTTGGTCCTATTTTTTTTATTATTCCTAACCTAAGTGGAAACTTCAAACGAACGTATCTTTTTGCTCGGGTATCAGATCGTAGCAATTTTTTTATTCTGCATAACTTCTATAACATCCTTAACCTTACAAAAGTGATTAACTCATAATGAAGTTATTAATGATGAGAATAAGCATGACATCCTTTAGGCCAAGAATCAAGTAATTATGGTAGTATAAAAGGTTAGTAAATTGATTTAGAGGTTAATGGAAATTAATCAAGTGGATTTAGTATGTACATTATCATGAAAGATGGACTAAAAGGAAAAGAAGGAGAAGTTTTGGAGGGATATGGTAAATATATTTTGGGGTGGATAGTTGGCTTAAGGTGATTGATGGAGAAGGAGAAGAGTAGAGAGATTTCTAAAGGGATTGGGGCTAGAAATTTCAGACCACCACCTCCCATTCTCTCTCATTTCTCTACTCCTTGCTCTCCTCTCTCTGCTCCTTTCTTCTTCTCATCACCCTATCATCCTCCATCATTAAATCTGGAACCTAATCATACTAAGGAAGGATTGGGAAGCTAAGGAACAAGGAAAGGATCTTTCAAAGGGTAAGAAGCATCTTCCTTCTCCTTCTTTCTTAATCCTAGAGGTATGAACTCTAGATTAAGTTTGATTGGTTTAGATGCAAAACAAGGATTCTAAGCTCCAGAATCTATGTTTTTCTTGTTAGATGGGGTATGTTATAATCAATGAGGAATTTTACAATGCTATATAGCATTGGTGCTATAGGTTTTTATCTTTATGGTACAACTTGAAATTGTACCTTTAATGTTATGGTACAACTTCAGATTGTACCTATACTTTTTGTACAAATTCTTTTATGGTACAACTTAAACTTGTACCTTATATGATGGTACAACTTCAAGCTGTAAAGTTGTACCATAACATAATGATACAAATTCCTTTATGGTACAACCTAAACTTATACATTTAATGTTATGGTACAACTTCAAGTTGTACATTAAAGCACCAATAATATATAGCATAGTAGAAGTGCTCATAATCAATGGAAGAAGGTTAGAGGTGGTTAGGTTTCAAAGTACTAGAAGTTCCAAAACTGGATTTTTGGGTTCACTTGAATTGAGTGTTGACTCCAAACCATAGCTTCAAATGGTATGAAATTTTGATATGTTTTAGCCCTATGAATCTAGTTTAAGTACAAAAAAGAATCAATATATTTGATTGATAATTGAGGGAGAAATTGCCAAAACCATGAACGGTGGTAGTGATTTCCAGCAAGGCTTTTCAAAAATCCAGCCTCAAGCATGGTCGGGTTTTGACCAATTAAGGCCGTATTTTCTGGAGAGAAATCTTCCAGAAGCATTCCTAAAAATCCGGCCTCTAGGCTCTAAAAACACGGCCGAGTTTTTGACCATAGAGGCCATGTTTTCCCCTGTTTTGGCTTAAGAGGTGTTTTCGTTTCGAAACTTCGATGCATTCCATCCCATATGCATTCATATTATTTCTCTATATGATTTGGTTGATTAAATGTTTCTAAATTGATTGATTAAAGGAAAGGAGAAATCCGGGGAGTCCTCAAAGGGCAAAGGACTTGCTGATTAGCGATCAAAATGTGAGTAAATCTTAACCTATCAACCATATTAAAGCGAACATGACACTTGGGTCATCAAGAGGCCCGAGTATATGAAATGTGAATGGGATAAGGAGTCAGGCAACGTTGTATTATTATTGAATACATAGGGCATGTTTGGAGGTTAAGATTCTCCAAATAGATGTATTTAAATCAATTTGTGTATAATCATTTGATGTATTGTTTCAGTGCATGTATTAGGAAAATACATGGTTTGGAGGGACAATGATGGAAAAAAAGTGAGGTAGACAATCCTTTGTTAACAATCTACCCTTTTGGTAGAGATTGATAATCATTCATTTTGAATGATTGTTGGTGGGTCTAGGAAAAAGATAATACATGCATTCTAAGTCAAATTGAACCAAAAAAATCGACTTAATCTAACCATAACATGTATTGGTTAAACACCTCACTTGAAATCTCAACCTCCAAACGACCCCATAATGTATTGTCATGCTTGCATGGAATGTTATGAAATGATGTTGGATTGCTATGCTTGAGATTGTGAGGCTTGAATGGGCTTTATGACATGTTTCTGTCATGCCATAGCATCGGATGGCCTATATGCCGATGATGTGACGTTGGATGGACTATCCGGATAGTCGACTATATGGTATTGGAAATTCGGAAAGGCAACGATGTGGTATCATATAGCTGTAGAGGCGAAAACATGTAAATGATTGGTTGATTTATTGTTTGGGATTAATTATTAATGGCGTGTATGTGTGTTATATGATTGTGTGACTAACAAAGGAAGAATTGCTTGATCACCTAAATCAAACCTAATGGCGCCTTGTCATGCACTCTATGTGATTGGATATGGTGGCTATATGCCTAGCTCTCTAAGAGAGCGATACCAGGCCTGGTTATTAGCGATGCTTTATGCATCTATTGGTGGTGCTTAATGCATCTATTTGGCAGTGCTTAATGCATCTATTTGGCGATGCTTTATATATTTTGCGATGCTTAATGCATCTATTGGGCGGTTCTTTATGCATCTACGGGCGGTGCCTAAGGCATATATTGGGCGAGGCTTTATGCATCTATTGGTGGTGCTTAATGCATCTATTGGACGGTGCTTTATGCATCTATTGGCAGTGCTTAACGCATCTGTTGGCGATGCTTAATGCATCTACAGGTTATACCCGGGGGAGTGCATGACCTGGCAAAATAAAGGCTGAAAGACATGTAACCTGGCTAATTTCAATGTGTCTATATGTGTGTATGTATGCATGATTGAACATTGGACTATGTATGGTTTTATGAGTGGAATGCAATGACAATGTGAATGAAATAATGGCTATCTAGGGGAAATCGATATAAGAAAAGGGTTTGTCTTCACCAAGTTATCATGTTTGTGTTGATATCGTTGGTAGGTTAGTTTTTACTCATTGAGGTGACGTCTCACTCCCGTAAAAAAAATCCCCAGATTAGAATGGTGGACTCGGACTCCGAAATGACTTGTTTATAGTACTTTTAGAGAAGATGATCTTCTCTACTGTCATGTGTTCTTAAGTTTTGAAAGTTTATGTAAATTATGGTTTGGTTTGTAAACTAAATGGAGTTGTAAAAGGTTTTAATCAGTATGATCTTATGAATGTTTTTAAAATATGTATGGGTGTTACATTTTGTGGTATCAGAGCTGGGATTAGATCCCACGGGATACTAATTGGTTTTGAAAGAGAGTCCTGCATGGTTTTAATGAGTTTTTCATGGTTTTAAATCAAACTGCATCATGATTCGAATATGGATCCAGATCCTAATGTAAAGTTTTATTGATTTCATGTGGAGTCCAGTCAAGGAGGAGATGGAGCAGTCAACCCACCAACTAGGGGATCACATGGACCCCGGGGAAACAATGTTGAGAATGATGTTGAGATTAATGCTAAATATAATGTTGAGTCTCGTAACCAAGAGGTCCCTTATAAGAGGGACTATCTAGAGATGCTAAAACTGGGAGCGGAACCCTTTACGAGGGCTATAGATCCGAAAGTGGCTCAGGATTGGTTAAAGAAGGTTGAGAGGATCTTAAACCTTCTCAAGTGTCGTGATGACTCTAAGTTTGATTATGGGGTATACCTCCTGTAGGGGGATGCCTATGATTGGTGGTTGACAATTCTCGGAGTGGACGATGACACTATCACGCACTCTTGGGATGTGTTTCTACAGCATTTCTGTGCCGAATATATCTCGGATGTGTATCGTGACAGAAGAAGGTAAAGTTTCTAACTCTGAAACAAAAAGAGGGACAGACAATGAGTGAGTATGAGGCCCAATTCCACCGCCTACTCACATTTGCAAGGTAGTTAGTCGCGACTGAGCCAGATAAGTTTGTACAGTTTGAAGGAGGTTTAAGAGGATATATCAATTCAAGAGTAGCTATGTCTGACATGGAGAGCTATGGAAGGCTCAAGGCAGCCACAATCAGGGCGGAGGCACACATAAATGAGGAAAAGGCGTTAGAGAGGAAAAGTCAGATGTACGAGCCTAAGAAGAAGAAGAAGTGGAAGAGTATAACCTCGACTAGTTCGGGACAATATTCTGGTGGAAGTTTTAACAGAGGAATGGGCCCACAACGGTCTAGATTTTCTTACTCAGGTACATGCCGAGGTGGGTATACCTAGATGGGGGCTCCACGACCCTCGGAGTGTCCTCATTGGGGGAAGGCCCATTTTGGTTTGTGTCGGGTGGTCACTGGAGGTTGTTTCCGATGTGGAAAATGGGACATTATGCTCGAGAATGCCCGATGAGGGTCAGTAATGTATACACTGGGGCTCAACCTACGGTACAAGGGTCCAGAAAGGCTAGCTGTGCTTCCAGGGGAAGTTTTAGAGGAGGAATAGTCGGGGTGAGGCCGCAATGTTGAAGGGAGAAGTTATGTCAGTGGTCAAGCGACAAGGAGCGAGGGTCAACCTCGTCTTTTTGCTATGAATAGTAGTGAATTCGATGCATCCCCTAGAGTTTTCACGGGCACTATACTTATCTATGATACTCCTGCTTGTACTTTGATTGATCCGGGTTCTACCCATTCATTTTTTCCCATGCATTTTCTCATAATTTGCATAAAAAATATATGTCTAATAAGCAACCAAAAAAAACTCCCACCAATTCCAAGTTCAAAGCAAATGGAAAATGGAAACCTCCAACCCCAACTTCCCCCTCTCTACTTACCCCTCAATTCCTTACTTCTTCACCCATCCCCTACTATGTTCCAACCCCAACTTCCCCCCTCAATTCTTTACTTCTTCCCCCATCCCCTACTCTGTTTCAACCCCAACTTCCCCCTCAATTCTTTACTTCTTCCCCCATCCCCTACTCTGTTCCAACCCCAACTTCCCCCTTCTCTCGCACTCCTCCACTCTCCACCCTCAATTCAAAATAACAATCAAAATTCACAATATCATCTAATTTACACATGCTACTTCTCACATGCTACTTGATGGCTGATGCTGCTTCTTCTAGTTCTTCGTGTTGATTGTTGAGACTTGAGAGTTGGCTGCCCTCGAGAAAGAGCCTATTACCTTCGTCCATTCACCAAAATCAACAAAAGAAAGTTAGCAAATCAGTAGGGGGAGGGAATCATCATCAAGGGTGGTTGGGAAATGGGCCTATTGGCTATTACCTTCGTCCATTCATCTCTGCCCTCGAGAAGACTGCTGCTGCCTGCCGGGGGATGGCGAAGTGAAGTGAAAGAAGACAGGGCTCGCCGGCTCGACGCAGGGACTGCTGCTGGCGAAGATGAAGACATACGCGGCGCGGTGGTGGAGCGCGGGGACTACTGCTGTGCTGGCGACTGCTGCTGGCGAAGAGACTGCTGAGCGCGCCTTCCGACCTTCGGCGCATGGACTGCTGCTGGCGAAGAGGAAGACCGCCGCGGCGTGCTGGATGGTGGCGATGGAATTCGCCTCGGCGGGCTGGAGAGGAAGAGGAAGTGTCGAATAGAGGAAAGGTGGAGGGGCCGAGACGAGGTGTTGGGCAGACTGCAGAGTTTGATTTAGATTTTAGGGTTTACACGCCCCCCCCACCCCCAATTCCCTACGTTGTCATTTTTTTTATTCGGTATTCGGTATACCGATTTACCGTCGGTATATGACTAGTCGGTATTTGGTATACCGTTTGGCCAAAAAGTGCAGCCGAATACCGATACCGCCGTTATTCGGTATACCGAATACCGATTGTAACCGGTACGGTACCCGGTTATACCGAATACCAGCCCTATTTCAAACAATCGAAGTAGGGGTACATGGGACGGCCCTGTTGATATTTAAACATACTTGCCCTATTTGCACCCATTTAAGGTTTATACTTGAGCCTTAGGTGGAATTTAAGTGTGATATTCGGGACAAGTCAAGTTTATGGTGCCATTGCCGGTGAACTTCGGTCCATTATTTTGAAAAGATTGTTTGGTATTAATCTAGCTTTTACTTTGAGTTTTGATTGTGTGAAGTGTTTCTTGTGCTATACGTGTTGTGATTCTTTTGAGTGTGTGCAGGGAGGTGTATGACCTGGAGCAATCCGACACCTTAAGCACCACTAGACGAGAATCTCAACCGCAGTCTCCGGCTCTTGGCTCGTGAGAGAGAGAGTTAGCAGAAGCAAGAATTAGAATTGAAGAGAGGGTACATCAAGGTGGTCCCGGATTTAGAGGAGTTGAAGTAGAAGGTGAAGTTGAGATGGCGGCGAATCAACAACAAACTGCTAATTAATTCGCCTCCGAACCCAAATGCGAAAGCGGGAGTTGAGGAAGAACCAATGACTATGGGATATTACATGACTCCACGGGTGGCAGATATTCAATCCCCCATCTTACATCCACCCTTGGCCGAAAAACAACTTTGAAATCCAGCCCGCCCTAGTCATGATGATTCAAAACAACGCCTTGTTTCATGGGCTCACCATTGACTCGCCAAGGGACCATGTTCAGAGATTCCTTGAGCTTGCGGGAAGTTTGAAGATAAATGGCATCCCTGCAGAAGCATTGCAATTGAGGTTATTCCCCTACTCTCTTGCTGTAAAGTGCTTCGATGGCTTAACAACCTACCGACTTGCTCAATTACCTCGTGGGATGATTTGCTCAACAAGTTCATGACCCGATATGGTCCTCCTTCCAAGATGACCGAGTGGAGAAAGAAGATCACCCACTTTGAGCAAAAGGAAGATGAGACATTGAGGGATGCATGGAAAAGATTCTCGGACTACTTCCTCCAATGCCCTCATCATGGATTCGAGGAGCAATTTCGGAGAAAAGACTTTTTGTGGCGGTCTCATTCAAGATGACAGGATTTTCATCGATTCTCTTTGCCAAGGGAGGTTGATGAACATGACTCCACCTTAGGTGACCGAGTTGCTCGAAGACATGGCTATCAAGGGATACGATTGGGGTTTGACGAGAAGCGGTAAGAGAAGCACCGAAAGACGAATGCGAAGTGTGGGAGCAAGTGCTCCACTTGAAGCTAAGCTTGACAAATCGATTGAGGTGATCCTTGAGGACAAGAAGCAAGGGAAGGAGCCGTTGGTGCCATACGATTGGGGTGCAAGTTCAGGCTATGAGGAGGTCGAGTGCCAAATGATGAATGAGGAAACAACCCATTACGAGCAGTTGAACTCTATCTCCCCTGTGCATGCCGACCGGATGTCTTGTCTGGAGGAGCTAGTGACCACCTTTGATGACTTCAGCTCTAAAGTGTTTGAAAAGATTTAGAGCTTCATAAGGGAGGCGATAGAGAAATTCTCAACCATAGAGGCGGGGTTGCAAAAGCACCAATCACTCTTAACAACCTTGACCAGAAGTGTGGGGATTATCTCGCAGGCAGCTCTTTCCTAGAAGCAATTCGATAAAGTGGGAGTAGGGGCGGTTACTCTCCGAAGTGTGAGAGAAGCAAAGGAGCTACCTCCAAAGAAGAATTCGTCCAAGACTGAAGAGCAAAATGGAGCTAGTAGTTTTCCCGAGCCACAAGGGAGCATGAGTGCAATCGGAGGGGAGAAGGTCGATTAGACTCATCAACCAGAGGAAAGGAAGGAAAAAGCAACTCGAGCTCTTCCGTATCCTTCTAGACTCCGCAATGACCGCATGGCGGCTGAGTTTGCCCACTTCATGGAGCTGATGAACCAGTTGCACCTCAACATCCCTTTTGTGGAAGCCCTCACCCAGATGCCCAAGTACACAAAGTACTTGAAGGATATCCTCACCAACAAGAAGAAGCTGGAAGGGATGGCTACAGTGACTTTGAATGAAGAGTACTCAACCATCCCATCCTACAGAACCACTTGGCCACAAAGCGCAAAGATCCAGGGAGTTTCAATATCCCTTGTTTTATTGGCAACATGTGCATAGGAAAATCCTTGGCGGACCTAGGAGCAAGTATAAATGTGATGCCTTATAGGTTGTTTAAGAAGTTAGACCTAGGTGAACCTAGAACTACGAGGATGAACATTCAGCTGGCAGATAGGTCCGTTGTGCAGCCTAAGGGTGTCGTGGAGGACCTACTTGTCAACGTAGGGACTCTCATTTATTTGATCGATTTCTTCATTCTCGACACTGATGATAACATCGATGTCCCTCTCATCCTGGGTAGTCCATTCTTAGATACCGCTAAGGCCTGATTGATGTGCATGGGGTAAAGTAAGTGCTTAGGGCAGGGGAGGAAGAGGTTACCTTCTCTATTGATGAGAGCATGAAGTTTTCCAACCATCATGATTATTTTAATTACTATGATGAAGTTTTTGATTTCATGGAGGCACTCGCATCCCCGGGTGCCTACCCTTCTGGCCATTTTGAAGAGTGTTGTTTGGTAGGGACAGACGTCTTGGGATCTCAGGAGGAGGAAAGCCAACTTCTGCAAAATCAGGTGGTGGAAGCTCTGCCCTAAATTCCTAAGATCCCTACCTCCTTTGAGGAACCACCCGAGTTGGAGCTGAAGCCTCTGCCTCCTTATCTTGAGTATGCCTTCCTGAGGGATGATGGCAAGCTCCTAGTCATCATCAACTCCAATCTTACACCAGAGCAGAAGACTTAGT